CGGCGGGCGCGAGCGCTCTGGACCCGCTGTCCGGACGGTTGGGGACTCGTTCCAGTCCACGCTGAGCCGTGCGCCGCCAGCCGCCTGTTACCACGAAGCGCACGGTCCGACCCCGGGAACGTGGCACTGTCGCACGGTCCCGGGGGCTCTTCGCTGTCAGGCACGTCTGTACTTTGGTTGGTGCCTTGGTCTATGGGGAACACCCTCCGGGGCCGCGATCACCTGGACCAGAGGCGCTCGGGCCGCCGGGACTTGTAGGCCCTAGAGTCCGTCTAGTCCATTGGTCACCCCTTTTGGACATGAATAGGGTTGAAAACCGCTGCGTTTTACGGCGTTCAAGCGCGGTGGTCGAATTGCACCGAAAACGGGTGGGCATGTATTGAGTGCATGCTGCGCGCTGAGCCTTGGTAGGTTGCCGGGGCGCAAGGAGGCGCGCTCCAGGAAAACGGAGAAGGGATTGTGTGGCCATGGGCGTGGGGAGAGTGGGGGGAGTGTGATTTCTTGCCTTCTGTCTCTCTGGCAAGCACATTCGCTCTGTATCAAAAATCTCCAAAAAAAAAAAAAAAGGTCCCTTGAGTTTACTCTCCATTGAGGTTGTAAATTTATGCCGAGTTGTTTCTTCGGGACTGAATGAAAGACATCACAGGACTTCCTCGTGTGGGGTTTCTGGGCCTGCTGCCTGTGGTGCTCTATGAATTACTACATTTTCATAAATCTTGTAATTAACTTGTTACATTGCAATGTGTGTGTGTTAGATATAAACTTTGAAAACATACCACAGTTTTGTAACCTGTTTCCACATTTATTTCATTTTTATGACCAGAAGTCTCCTAAAAGGGAAGTGGATCCAAATCTTGCTTAATTTACAGGAACAGGTTGTCATTTGGGACTTGGTCCTGCAAGCAGTTTTGATGCCTTTGAAAGACGAACATATTCACAGATCAGAAAATCATTTGTCAGGCTGCTTGCTCCTAGTGTTTGATTTTGGAAAATAAGATCACAGTTGACTAAATGGTAGAAATTTTCAAACTTATCAGGTAATGGAATACTTGGAAATAATGATTTTTTTTTTTTTGGAGAGGTTTTTGCTATAGGGTGTGTGCGCTTGCCAGACAGACAGAGAGAGACAGAGAGACAGAAAGCGAGAAATTACCCCCCAGGGGGGATGGCCACGCCACAATCCCTTCTCCTCCATTCTCCTCTCGGGATCTTGGGCACGCACGCACACGCGCCCGGCATGAGTTTAAGCCACCGGGTCAGGGACTCGAACCATGTTCGACTATGTGGGAGTCCAGCGACATAGCCATTACGCTAAGTGCTGGTCCCAAAATAATGATTTTTTTGTAGAACACTGAAATACTGCTCTTTCATACTTAACTGTAGCCTTGTTTGGTTAAATTCTGTTTTGTATCTTCGTACCAAAAAAGTGTGCCATATATTAAGTACATTTTTATTTTGACAAAATACTATCAGCTGCTTCAATTTTACCATAACTTTGAATTAGACCTTGATTTTTCACCATATAATCCTAATTCAAATATTCAAAAGGATTTTCATATATCCTTTCAGGATTTGGGGCACACATGCACACACACCCAGCATGAGTTTAAAGCCAGGGTCCAGGACTTGAACTGCAATTGGCCATGTAGGAGTCCAGTGACGTAACCATTATGCCATCTGCTGTTCCCAGTAGGAGGAATCTTAAGAATGTTGATAATATTTTTTTTTGAGATTTTCGCTATAGGGCGCGTGCACTCTCCAGACAGACAGAGAGAGACATAGAGACAGAAAGCAAGAAATCACCCCCCAGGGGGGATGGTCACGCCGCAATTCCTTCTCCTCCATTCTCCTCTCGGGGTCTTGGGCATGCACGCACAAGCGCCCGGCGTGAGATTTAAGCCACCCGGTCCGGGATGCGAACCACGGTCAACTACGTGGGAGTCCAGGGACATAGCCATTACGCTAACTGCTGGTTCCCCGATAATATATTTTTAAATTTATCTTTATTGGGAAAAAAATTTGCTAGAGGGAGCATGTGCTTGCCACAGAGAGACAAAGAGACAGAGAGAGAAAGCACTCCCCCAGGAGGTTGGTCATACTGCAGTCCTTCTCCTCTATTCTATTCTCCTCTCAGGATTTTGGGCACACACACACACATATAACCTGTGTTTCCCAAGTCACGGGGTCCAGGACTCAAACCACACAGTTGATCATATGGGATCCGGCCACCTTACCCACCATGCCACTTGTGAAAGTGATCTTTTTCTGTCATATTAGCATGTATTGGGATTTGACTTTTACATGCATTCTCTTGTATTTTACCACTTAACTTTCTAATTACATCTAAACTTTTTGATGAAGTCTCTTGCACTTTCTGTGTGTAAAAAACTTTTATAAACAGTGACGATTTGTCTTCTCCATCGAATAGTTACATATCTTCTTTTGCTTGTGTCATTGCATTAACCAGAATTTTTATTACAAATTAAATTATACTAAATTGTAAGTGCCAGAGGTAATTTTTTTTTCTTTGTTTCATTCTTTTAAGCATTAAATATTTTAAATAGCATACTTTTCAATCCGTTACCACACTAGGTCACTAGTTTTCTTTCAGTAACATGATATATCATTCTAAAGAATTTCTATTATTTATTTAGAAAGTAGAAACAAAAGACGCATCATGAAAAATATCTCAACAAGAAGAGGAAATATTATAAAATGGTAAGGAATTCATGGCGTTTATGAGGATTTTCGTTATTCTAAGTAGCCAATTATAAATATAGGATAATCCTGGTAAGTGATATATGTGGTTCTATATACCAATCATAAATTTATATGTTAAAAATATAAGGGCCAGCAGGTGGCTAGGTGGTTAAGACACTGGATCCCACATGGCCAACTTTGTGGTTTGAGTCCTGGACCCACTGGCTTGAAAAATCACACCAGGCAAGTGTGTGTGTGCCCAGAATCCTGAGAGGAGTATGGAGGTGAAAGGATTGCAGGGTGGCCATCTCGTCTGGGGGATGATTTCTCACTTCCCTCTCTCTGCCTCTCTCTGGTGAGCACATGTGTCCTAGTCGGCAAGCTCAGCAATGAACTGTATGTACTGTGCTTTTTTTTTTTTTCTAAGTATTTTTTTCTTTATTCTTGATAGAATGTGTACATGTCCTTGTGAGAGAGACAGGAGCAGCCTCCAGAGCCTGGTCATGTTACGGTCCCCTCCCTCTAGTCCTCCAGCACATTGGACCATGGGCATTCCCTGTGGCTGGCAGGTTCCAGGCTGACCAGGCTGAGGATTCGAACTGCAGTGGCCGGTGTGATCCCGCTTCTCTTGAGCAGCACGTGACCGCTGGGCCATGGAGCCGTTCTGAACTGTACTCGTATTTGGTCTGTCAGCCATGTGATAAGGAGCATGAGAGAGAGTTTTTTATTTATTCTCCTACTAAACACTCCTCATTTATTTATATGTTTTCTCAGCAAGCCAGTAAACTATTCTTGACTTTTCTCAAAGAAAAAAATTTTTTTATTCACTGAGTGAAATAATAAAACCTGTATCTACGTGTCTCTTAGAGTAACTTCAACTAACAATTACATTTCTCTCTGCCTTCTGGATGGACATGGGAAAGTATGAAATGTGTTCAGTATTGTAGGGATGGTGGGCGAGATTACTGGGAATTAGAGGGAGGCCCGAACCCCTTGGTAGAGCTGATGTTCCATCATACCATTGAGGATTGCTATTCCTCAGTTAAGAGTACAATTCGTTTTATTTATTTATTTTTCTGAGAAGTTTTTTTTGTTTGTTTGTTTTTTTGTGTTTTTTTTGTTTTTTTGTTTTTTTGTTTTTTTTTTGCTATAGGATGCGTGCACTTGCTGGAGAGACAGAGAAACAGAAAACAAGAAATCTCCTCCAGGGAAAGGGGGAATGGCCATGCCACAATCCCTTCTCCTCTTGGGATTTTGGGCATACATGAACATGTGCTTGGTGTGAGTTTAAAGCTGCTGTGTCCAGGGCTTGAACTGCGGTAGACCACATGAGAGTCTAGTGCCTTAACCACTACGCCACCTTCTGGTCCCTGAATTATGTCTTCTTAATTGTCTTGAGGGTACTGAAGGTTGAATAAGAAGAGAGGAAGGGCCAGCCAGTAGCATGGTGGTTAAGGCAGCAGTGTGGGTGTGGCTGACTATAGGGATCAATCTCCAGACCTGTCGGCTTGAGAAACACATTGGGAGTGGACACATGCATGCCCCGAATCCTGTAAGAAATGGAGGAGAAGGGATTGTGGCATGGCCATCCCCCATGGGGGGTGCTTTCTCTCTCTCTTTCTCAATGTCTCTCTCCAGTGATTGCATGGAACCGCTGACAACAAAAAAGTAAGGGAACAGCTGGGTGTGGTGGCTTGCACCTCTGGTCTCAGCTACTTAGGAAGTGGAGGCAGGAGTATCACAAGTTTGAGGCCAGCCTGGGCAACATAGCGAGACTCTGTTTTACTCTGTTAAAATACTTTTGAATGAAAACTTTTTTTAAAAACTTAAAAAAAACAAAAGGTAAGAGAACATTTTAGTTTCCATTGACATTTTTCAGTGGTTCTTACTTGTGGCATAGGGACCACTGCTGGGTTTGAAGTTTTTCCAGAAAGTCTACAGACTTGGCTATTATTGTGATACTTTTTAAAAATTATTTATTTATTTGTTTTTTTACATTTTCCCACAAACATTTATTTTACATATCAAAAAATTTTGCTCAGACTCTGTAGTTCTTGACAGTTAATGAACAACTTTCACAATTTCCAAAAAAATGAATTTAAAAAATAACCTTCAAAATATTTGTTTTACTTTTGTTTGTGACTCTATAACAACAGAGATGGTATGATTTTAAATATTTTTGAGAAAAATATTTACATGTCAACTACTCAAACTGTCGAAAAGCAAACACCCAGCACAGTAGTCACACATAAACCTTCTCAGTTCAGCCCTGCCTACCAAGTATTCTGTGATATACCACCTGCTAGCAAAGATCAGTCTCTTTTTCTTCCTTCAGAGTCTTCCTCAAGGTAATCCTCTGGTTGTGGCTGCTCTTTTGCAATCTCTACTGACTACAGTGCTGGGTTGGAAAATTCCGGGTTATTGTATGGTACGAATTCTTTCCTATGGCTTCTCTAATCCTCTCTGCCAGGCAGAGCTGTTCATGGTGCCAGGCCATCTTTCCAAGAGCTTCTGTTGACTTCCTTGAGACTTACCTTAGTTCCATAGTTTTCTGGTCATATCTTCAAATATGACATTCCAGTCAAAACCCTGGCAATAATAAGTATCTCTAATTTCTGATGCAAGGCAACAGGTGTTATTGAACTATGCAAATGACCCTTCTGCCACAAAATAATAATACAAATATTTTCCAATCCCAGAGGGGTTAGGAAGGGAGAAAAGTTTATGCTTAGATTTAAAACAAACAAACCATTTTAACAAATTACTGAACCTATCAACAGCTAAAAAGAAAGCTAAATCCTTAAATCTGGAAAAACAAAGCATAGAAGAAAATCAGTAATGTTTCAGTCAAAGGTCATAAAATTCTATTTACCAGTTCAGTCTCACGTGATTAATTTCTCTTCTGTTGAATCTGCCGTGTTACTGTGGTCTGATCTTTCCGTTTAAGCCCTGGAAGTTAACATTCACTGTGATTACTGATATTTCTGCTTGTCTCTAACATGAGTTTGGTCATTTTCTTGGTTGCTTTTTGTTCTCTTATTTCTGCCTGTCTACCTTCAGTTTTCCTGGGATAGCACTCCCTTCAGAACCTCTTGAAGAACTGGTTTGGTGCTGGTAAATTCTTTAAGGTTTTGTTTATCTGAGAATGTATTTATCTTTTCTTTCCATATGAAGGATAATATTGCCAGGTATAGTATTCTTGGTTGAAATCACTTTTCATTTAACACTTTGAGTATGTTTTCCCACTCTTT